ATCATCCTTTAGAAACATCTTTTTCTTCTTTATAAGCATTTGAGGAGAAAACCTAGATTTATCTCTCTTTTTTTCCCCTTTTTTTAATTTATTATTTTATCAAAGAGATAAAGATGCTTTTTAAATGATACTCTCTTAAAAAAAGATAAATATGCCTCTAAAAAAGACAAAGAAGATCTAAATAAGATAAAAAGTTACTTCTAAATAAGATTAAGATGCTCTAAAGAAGATAAAGAATGTTCTAAAGAAGATAACAAATGTTCTAAAAAAGACAAGGAAAAGTATACAATGAGACCATTCACCTTTGGTACAAGGTGTTCACAATTTATTGGATGTGAGATTTGGTGGCTAAATTTATCTCATTGACCAAGCTCAAAGTTCAAAACAAATTTTCTTGAACTTTGTGACACACCTAAGCTATCAGATTTTACATTAAATGGTTGTAAGTAATTGTGACCTCCTTGTATCAAAAGTAAATGGTTTCATTGTATACAATCCCAAAATATCAAAATACTTCAAAAGAATATAAAGAATCTTTTCAAAAATGACAAAGAATGTTCTAAGGAAAAAAAAGATGCTGCTAAAGAAGAGAAAGATGCTTCTAAAGAAGAAACATATGTTTAAAGACGATTAAGATGATAAAAAATAAATGATCTCAAGGATGATAAAGATGATCTAACATATCCAAACGATGATCTAAAATATCTAAAAGATGATAAAGATTGATAGAAAAAGATCCTAAAAAATGTTTATCGAGAAAAACAAAAAAAAAAAAATAAAAAAACTAAAAGAAGAAGAATAAGAATCTAATAAGTAAGGTAAGTAACTTTACTTTAAAACTACTAACTTTACTTTTTTGTTTTCTTTTTTCTTTTTTTTTTTTTTTGCTGGAAAATAAATATGAGAAAAAATAAGAAGCCTTTAAGCACAAGGGCCCCATAGTGGGCGCCAAACTGTTTACGCTCCAATCTACGCCGATCTCTAAGTGAGATCAACTCAAATCTTTGCAAAACTGAGTTAAATTTGGAAAAGGTAGAGAAACTAGGGTCGCTTGAACTATGGGCTCAAAAAAATCGTAGATCTATACATATTCTGTCTTTTTTGAGTCCACAGACAACGCTAGCTCCAAATATGTATTTTGACTTAAAAACGCTTCTAAATTTAACTAAATATAATAATAAATTAATTTTCAAAAATAAAATAAAACAAATAATTTAAATGAAGAAAATAAATTAAATAAAGCACATAAATAAATATTTAGCTCTAAAAACCCGAAACCTGGAGTTTCGAGCTTGGATCAAGCCGTTCTTCTGATTTATGCCACTATCTCCTTTTTGGATGCCTTATGCTTGCTGGAATTGGTAGAACTAAGATTCTTTGACCTAAATCTTAATCTAGCGTTCCTAAGGCTAAGGAAAAAGCTCGGGAAATTTAGGTGGATTCTACCTAGACTTTTCTAGGACTTGGAGAAGGTCTTCTTTATATTTCTAAGGGTTTTGGGACGTCAAAGGTAAAATCCAAATTTTTGGATTTTTTGGAAATTTCCTAATTTTTGAGGAATTTTCTAGGGCTTTTTCCTAATTTTGAGTATTTTTGGGCTATTTTTCCTAATTCGAGATTTCTAAGGAATTTCTAGGGATTTTTGGATATTTTTCTGATGTATTTTTTGGGTTTTGGAAGGGATATTTACAGGTTTGAGGTAGGGAATCTCCTAGTTCAATTAGGATTACGATTAGGTTTAGGTACTTTTTTCTTTAACTTTTTCAAAATTTTCCACATTTTTTTGGATTTTGTTTTAGATTTATCTTAATTAAAACGTGTTTTCTAATCATCGGGCGCGCGACAGCCTGCCCTGCATCCCGACACTTGTAGGGTCACACAAGGACCAAATTGTCATTCTTAGGTCCAATTCATGCGATTCTTGGACCGTTGGAAAGCTTGTGATCTCCTCTACAATGTGAAATCAAATTTGGTTAAATTTGAAATATTTTGGGGGGATCTACAAGGCTGACTTTAGGGTCTCGATTTCAGGTTTTTGGGTATCTGAACGATGTTTGGGTCAGTTTTCTGGGTTCATAAGGCCCATGGGTGTCTACGGTCACTATGTGAGGGTATTGGGATAAGCTTTGGGATAATTCTACTGGGTTTAGGTCACCTATGGTCTACTAGAGTTTGTGTGGTCCTTTGGATTCAGAATCAAAGCTCTTAGGAATTCCCTTAGCCAGAATTTCGAGGGGTGTCTTCATCCATCTAGAAAATTTTACGTCTATCCCAAAACGTTCCATCTAAAAAATCGAAATTGGATGGAAGACGAAAAATTATTTTATCAATAGATATTTGGCTTGTTTCATTAGGCCCCATCTCTCAAGCACCTTCCTCCACCCCATAAGAACATTGTCTCCTCCCCCTCCCTCCCTTAGGGTTTGTCAACCTGCTATAACCAAGCCTCGCCCATGCTCAAAAACAGGCTCCAAAGGTCAACTGCTGCTCCTATTTTCAGCCACCTTGTCCATCCATCCTTGGATTCATTCTTCTTCCTGGTCAATGAGAGAGAGAGAGAGAGAGAGAGAGAGAGAGAGAGAGAGAGAGAGTCATGGGGGGAGGGCAGAGGGGGAGGGAGAGAGAGAGACCAACCACTTTATCATTTTGGAGAGGGGAAGGAAAGGTTTGATTGTTCTTTGAGATAGGAGGGTTTTCTTTAGGGCACACTAGCCTATTTAGAGAGAAGAAGGTAGAGTAGAGCCTGCTCTGTTTTTAAATAGAGAAGAAAGGCTTTTTTGTAGTTGCATTTTATCATGTAAAAGAGATTAAGAGGTGGCTCAATCCATCCATTTTAGAAAGGCCAGGAAGAGATATGTGCATTATCTTTGGAAGCGATATTGGGCTGACGAAAATCAAAATGGGGGGACCACAGATCTATTGGGAGAAGAGTGCAATGATTTGGACGTGTTTTGGATAAGCATGAATGAGGGAAACAATTGAACCTAGATATACAAAGAAGGTTTCAATCTGCCCCATGTTTCTTCCACTCACTATCTCCTTTCACAAAAACTCTCACCCTATATATCCATGCGCTCTCCTGCTACCCATATTTATATATGCACGTTCCTTTTAGTCCTACTGGTATGCATCATTACTTCATTTTCTTAATGGTAAAAACACCACTATTTCAGATTGGACCAAACTCATTGACGCTCTTAAAAATTTAAAATCTCTAGTTTTTGAAGAATTTGCATCAATCACTACATTCCTCTTACAACTTTCCATTGTAGGAGCACCCAATTTCTCAAATATTACATGATTTTCCTGATTTTCATTCTTTTGTTCTTCATGGATGGTTGAATTTTGTTGTTTCCTATTTGATCCCTATCATATCCCAAAGATTGCATCACATCTGGGGTTCTCTGGTTCAATTTCTCAATTACGGACTGTTAGTTTCTCTATGGAGAAGATCCCAAATTTTATCACATAGTCTTCTTGTTTTTATTGGGATCATTGTGGCATACTGGTTAATAGACCAATTGGGTCTTGTAATTGCTATGACCGTGAGCTCTTTGCCATTTTGGTACCCGATGGTCCTTTAAGCCATCTAGTTGATCTTGTTGTGTCGAGGGAGGAAATCCCTGCTCTTCTTTATGAGGCTAGGCCTATCGATTTTCCTGGTATCGATCAGATCAATGGCCAGAGAAAATTGAGTCGATAGAGAGAAATTGCCAGAGAAAATTGAGTCGATAGAGAGAAATTCTCAGTTCTGGTTCTAACTCTCCAGCAATGGTTCGAGTTTTTGACTCTTGGGCATTTGTTTGCATCAGGGACCATGGGGTTAATATTTCAAATTCACAATCAAATAGTACATACACACACACACACACACACACACACACACACACACACACACATATATATATATATATATGGCTTAGGAGAAGAGAGAGTAGACTTAAGTGGGTTGTGGCTCTGTGTAGCGCATACCCAATACAACACCTGTTAAGAGGTACAAGTTAGTTCGAGTGGAAGGCTCAAAAAGGGCAAGGGGTAGAGCCAAATGGACATGGTTGGAAGTAGTGAGAAAATATATTGGGACTTATGGCCTCACTGGGGGTATGGCCCTTAAGAGAGCAGAATGGCAAATCAGGATTTACGTAGCCAACCCTACATAGTTGGGAAAAGCTTTGACAATGATGATGATAATGATATATACACACACACATATATAATCTGTAAAGTCAATATTTATTGTAAAGCAGCCAATTAAACACATCTAGTGAATAAACTTCTAATCCTTTCACAGCCATCCAAACAATCTATCAGAAAAATAAAATAAAAGGATAAAACTTTCCAATTCAGGCTGACAAAAATTAGAACTTTTTTCAGTGTATAGGTTTTCAATTTCATCTAAGGGGAGTTCATAAAAACCTACGAAAACATGCCAAAATTTTCACTCAAACTTTTCATAAATATTCTTTTGCTCAAATTTTCACCAACCATTTATAATTCTCCACTAATATCTAAACCAAAAATTGTTACAAAAATCAAACAACAAATCTTTAATATCTAAACTGAAAATTTTCACTCAAACTTAATTGTTTTTCATAAATTATTACAAAACTCAAACAACAAATCTTTAACTATAGCTGATGCAAGAAACCTTGATATTCAGAAAAAAAAAAAGCATACGGCAAGATTCAATCAAACATAATAAAATAGCTCAACCCAATATAATTAAGAAGTAATTAATCACACAAAACCCTAAATCAGAGAGGCATGCATCATAAATCACTCGATCAAAACTAACAAATCAAACGTTCCAGGGAATTCTCAATCACACATCCAATCCCTTTACACCATGCATCACTCGATACAAAAAACCAACCACGGTAACTCATAGAGGAAGGAAAGAAGCCTACAGCTTCCAGATCTAATTATCTCGGGGAACAATTCAAACAAAAAGAAGATAAGAAATTCAATTCAAAGTTTGAATAGAAGAAAAACATGTTCACCTTGCAAGCCCTGCCCTTGATGACTATGTATCCATTCTTACGAATGGTTCCGGCCTGCTGAGGATAGGTCTTCGAAGCTCCGGAATCAGCCTTCGATTCGAAGTGGTGCTCCTCATCAGACATGGTTGAGGACAGAGGAAGGAAGAAGAATCAAAAGAGAGAGTAAGACAGAGGAACAAGTTGCAGAGAGGGGATTGAAGGGAAGAGAGAGGGAGAGAGGAGAGAGCTGGAGAGACGAGAATTTGTAGGTGTGGGTTTTTGTTTATGAACTCGCCCTAATTGCGGTTCGCGTCCGGAAGAATCTGGACCGTTCGATGGGATGGCCATTCAACGGCTGTAATGCGAGGATCATCCCAATTTCTATACCAATTCGAAATTAGTAAATCGAACTTCACGTTTGGGAAAGATAAAGCAGATAAATATGGACTTTTTTGCTTTTTTGGAAACTAGGGATTTACTATATTTTTTAATTATATTATAAATATGTTATTGGCTTATAAATAAATATTAGTTTAAAAATTTAAAAAATAAAAGTATAAAAAAAAACATAAACTTCACAATATTGTTATAATTATATTTATAAATTACATTTTGAGGTAAATATATTATCGACCTATACAATCATTGATCGACATAGAGACAAACACAATCACCAAAAAATCCAAATTTTTCAACGAAAAACCATACAATCATTGAACATCAAGGATCCAATATTTCTAAAAAAAACAACAATATCAACATGGGATATCATTAAAAAATAGTCATTACAAGAGCTAAAAAGAAACGCAAACATAGGAAAAATGTATATGGTATGAAAACAAAATAAATCTCCACTTCAAATCCTTATTTGGAAGCACTTTCGCTATTGGAGATGGCTCTAAAATTAATTTCCAACACCGACAATAAAATTTGAAACTAAAAAAATGGTACTAATCTTGCGAATCTTTTAACACTTATTTTTAGGGCAAAATTGATGGTCTAAATGATTTGTTGCAATATACACTATTTTCAGAGTTTATCCTCTTTTTTTTTGCACAACCATAATGTTAAAGTTGGGATGATTGATTTAAAGATTTTTCAACACTTGAATTGCATTTTTGATGAGTTATATGGTGAGGCTTTATTATATATATATATATATATATATATATGGAAAAGATGGGGTTAGCCTACTAATTCATATGAACATATGAGCTCAACGTTGCCGATCTGACGATCAAAGATGTCTGGTAGTGTTTGAATTTTATTTTATTTTCTACAAATCCAAATCACTTGAAATTTTAGGCGTGTGTTTATAAAAAATAGTTGAATCTTCGAAAAATATCAAAAAAATATTTTACATGAAATAAAATGATCAAAATTCCCCCGATAATATTCGGGAGGTATTTTGGTTATTTTATTTTTTTTGAATAATTTTTTTTATATTTTTATTAGGTGCGTCTTGATGAGAATAACACACACCTAAAATTTCAAGTGATTTGAATTTGTAGAAAAATAAATAAAATTCAAACACTACCAAACATCCTTGATCATCAGATCGGCTCAGATTCAATCTGGATCGTTGGGTTCATATGTTCATATAAGCTAGTGGGCTAATCCCAACTTTTCCGATATATATATATATATATATATATAGGAAAAGTCTTCGCAACACCTATAGGTGAAAATGAAAAGTGATTTCGCCTATGCTCATCACTATCCAAAGTTCATTGTACAGTCACGATTGTCGAGTAGTATTTCAATTTTCATTTTTTTTTTCGATAAAACAAAATGATATGAAATTTGGAGCATGTGTCCATATTAGTACGTTTTTTTCTAATAACAGAATGGTCTGAAATTTGGAGCATGTATACATATTAATGAGATGCACCTAATAAAAATATGAAAAAGAATATTTCGTAAAATATAAATTGACTAAAATACCCCCATAATTTTTCAGGGGTATTTTGGTTAATTTATATTTTTTGAATTATTTTTTTATCTTTTACTAGATTCTTCTATTTTTTAGGAATACACGCTCCAAATTTCAAATCATTTCGATTTGTATAAAAAAAATGAAAATTGAAACACTACCCGACAGTTGTGACCGTACAATGAACTTTGGACAGTGATGAGCATAGGCGAAATCACTATTCATTTTATCCTATAGACGTTGCGTAGTGTTTTCCTAAATAGGCGAAATAACTATTCATTTTCGCCTATAGACGTTGCGTAGTGTTTTCCTATATATATATAACTTTAAAAAAAAATTTATTTAAAAATTTATTAGTTTTCCATACGTACTCTCTATCCTCTTTATCTTCAGGGTTAGGTAATGAATATGATATATATGATATTTACATTCAATATTTTGTAATAAAAATTGTAAAATAATGTAATTATTGTAAAATAAATTAAATTTATGTGAGAATCATTTATTATTATTAGAATATTACTTTTATAATTCTTCAGCCTAAACTATACACATATATTTCTATAATAATTATAAAAATTAGATATTGGTAAAAATAATTTATTTTTTGTTTGAATTTGTATAATTTTAAATAAATTTTGTTCCCAAAAGTAATTGAAAAAATTAAAAAAATAAAACGCAAAACCTTGCTACATGAAAGGGAAAAAAATAGATAATATTAACTCTACAAATGTTTGTGTGCGGTTTGGATAGAGCCTAGGCTTTAAACAATCAAATTAGAGCCTACCGTCAAATAGTGTCGAGAAATGTGGTTTCAATACTGAAAATTTGTGATAGCCATAAAATATATTTTAATATTTATTTTTAAAATTTAAATCTTAAAAAATAGTGTAGATCGATAGATATATGAAAATCTTGAAAATTAACGATAAAAAAAATGCGTTACAAAATATACTCTTTCCAAAACTTGAAATCTATTTTTTCTCATATCCATGCATCTTGATGTCGAAATGATCAATTTGAAGATATTTGAGCATCAAAACAACCTCTTCTAGTTAAATTTTTTTAGGTACGTTCAAATTTGATTGTTTAGAGCCTTGGCTCTAAATAAACTCTTCCCTAAATGTTTTATTGAAAATATTTTCCAATGATAAATAGGATTAATATTAAATATCATGTGTAACATACATACATATTACTAGTATATATATATAGAGATTCCCAAGCTTCGACTTCTTCATATATCACCCTCATCCTTATCTCTCTCACCACATTCCAATACCCTAAACTTTATATTTTATGATGAACTATTTTTTATATATAATTATTTATCATTCCAATGTTTTATAAGCACGAAATTTCCTTTTGTACTTTAAGAAATGTTGAGTGATAAAAAATTGGGAAAGGTTTTTATACTTCCCATATAGCATAGAAGATCCATGCTTCTTCTACCATCCAAATGTCCAATTTTGATCAAGAGAGTCACTCGCTTTTTGATCTTAGATCCGACGTCTCAAAGTATTTTATTTTTAGTTTATTTTATACAAATTGTATGAATATGAAATTTAGTACATACCATCTTCTCATTGGGGCGCACCTATAAAAAATATTAAAAAAAAAATTTCAATAAAATATAATGACCAAAATACCCTTTAAACATTTAGGGGTATTTTGGTCATTTATTTTATTGAATATATATATTTTTTATTTCTGCTAGTGTAAGTTTAATAGAGGATTGGACGTACAAAATTTGGTGTCAAAATAGTTTATAGAAAATTTTTTAAAATAAAACAGTGTAGAGACGTGATATTGCGATTGGGACAATCTTAGCTCTCCATTCAAAATGGACGGTTAGATAAGGAGAAGTATCTAAGTTTTATGTTGTAGGGGAAGCTTTGAAAGCTTGCCCCTTAAAAAATCCCTCGTAAAGCGCTGTCTTTTTTAAATTTATTACCACCTAAAATAGAAGCAGAAAAATCCCTAAACTTAATATTCGAATTAATTGATGTTTAAAACAACTTGTAAAGTCTCTATACAAAATTTACAAGTCGGAATACGTGCATGGCACATGGGATGGAAATAGGCAATCATGTAAATAAGAAATTGAGAGTAAGTTACCTTACAATAGCAAATACAAATCTATATGCATGTCCATTTCATTAAGTTATACTTTTAGATTTATTACTTTGATATTTTTTTTTGTATGTCTACACATTTATAATTAGGATTGTTCTCCATATTGTTGCTCACTATACACAATATACTTAGTATTTAAGATTCATGTATCATTGAACTTTCAGTTTTTTTTAAAATAGATTTACAACTATTTTCCTTTAAATTTTATTACAAATTTAATTTTTTTAATAATCATTATGTAATATTTTATACATAAATAAAACAATAACTCTAATAACTTTTATAATTTTAGTTACAATTTGTTATAATTTAAAAAATTATTTATGGCTTCATTAAAAGTAGGAAAACTTATCCATGAATAGAAATTCTTAAAATGAAAAAAAAAAAACCAAATATTAAAACTTGCATCATGTATTAAATACTAAGGGAATTTGATTTTCTATATTTGAAAAAACAGATACATAAATTTTAAATATGAAAATATTAAAAATAAAGTTTAATAATAAAACAGATAAGAAAATATTCATATGTGAGACATTTAAATATTTAAAACTAAAAAATATTTTTAATAGTTTTTGAAAATCAAAAAATAAAGTTTAAGTAATTTTCAAGATCATAAGTTTTATGTAACTAAGAAAATGAATTTTCTTAAAACTGGTATCTATATTTGTAGAAAGGACAATGTAATTGTTTTTTTTTTTTTACAAATTAGTTACTAAATATGATGAAATAAAATAATATCAATTTTCTCTAATGTTCACTAATGTATTGAAAATTAATAATATCAATTTTCATGTTCACAAAAAAATTATTTGTTAACTTTTGTACTTTTCAATTGAGAAAATTTTGGGTTTTTTAATTGAACTTACAAATCTTACAGACCAACAAAATTTAGAAAAAAGGTTATATAGAAAAAATTTATTTGTATGTTCCATGCTTCTTAAATATATTTATTCATATTTTATATTTATTAAAATTGCAAATGATTATAAAGATCAACTAGTTTTCTAATATTAACAATTTTAAATTTATATTTTTTTCTCTATGAATGAATTTAGCTGATTTAAAAATTTTTCATTATCATTCTCAACATTTGGAAAAATTGATCATGTCTAACTAAAAGAGATAGGAACATGATTTTTTTTTATTATTAAATATTTTAAAAAATTCATAGTTTCAAGTGTAAAGCTATGTAATTTCATAGCT